GTTACAGACTTAGTTTGCAGGATATCTGAGTGTGTCACTTTCCTGTGGGTTTCACGCTCTCCTTCAGCAGGGATATTTTGTGACTGAATCATTGCTGCACCAAAAAGCCGGATCAGTAAACCACTCATGTCAATTTTTTTTTCCAATTATCTGCCATGATATTTTGGAACACTAGTCAGACAGGGAGGGGTACTGAAATAGTTTATGGATTGATTTAATACAATGTGATGGTATAACACATCCAATCTTAATTTAGAAACAAGTACCTTTTAGAGTACAATTTTTCATTTATTTCTTGATCTATTTGGAGCGATTTATAATCAGCATAACAAGCAGTGGTTATATTTATAACAACTGAACAGAAACAGTAACTGAGGTTAAAAGTCACATGATATATTTAAAGGCTTCTGAGTGATCAACACTGCTTTAAGTGTTACACACTTCTGTGGTAAAATGAGTGCTGTAATTGATCATGTAGGGCGGGCAGTCACTATACAGTGGAATTGGGGCCTATCATCTTCCAAGTATGTAGTCCAAACACAAATGTTGCAGCATCTTGTCAACCTGCTGTTGGTGAACACACAACTTTACATTGGGCAAAGTCTCCTCAGTAATGAATCTGCTTGATAATTGTGACAGGTGTGTCAGATAATGACTGTTTCAAATTTTGTGATAAAAAACAAGTGAATAGATTTAAAGGAAATGCAGTCTTGTAGCTTCCTTGTTCTTCTAAAGTGTTTGTGTAAAGACTTTTGGCATCAGTGTGTTAACTGCATTTGGGCACAGCTTTGGAAGAAAAACTTTTCAGTGGCCTTGTGTGAACTTCTGAAACACCTAATATAATTTACCTGAAGGACTCCGGAGAAGTCAGCGTTCACTGGTCCTTCTGTAAACTGCGGTGTAACACTGTTGTTCATGTTGACCTGAGAGATAGAAACAACTCAATGTTTACATCGAGGTGACAACTTTCCATTTATGTGCTTAATTATTAAAGTTATTATCAGTTATATGTGGACATTCTATAAGAGTCAATCATCCATTGAGGTTAATGATTTTGTTTGAAATCTACTGCTGATTGACTTGAGAGTGAGCTAATTATGGCATCATGTTTCATATTTCTTACTCTGTGAAGTGGAGTCATGTGTGTTTTGAGACTTATAGCTGTCTGTGAGTGTACTGCACAAGCAAAGCAGAAGATCGAATATAAGCAAAAGTCAGGCCGGTAAATGCCTACAGTATAAGACAGGTAGAATAATATGCAAGCATTAAGTAATTAAGACTCATGTTGGACATTTGAGAGGCACTTCACCCAAGTTACATCAGAACACATTCTCACTTTCCCCTGGTGGTTTGCACTGTGTCCAAGGTCTCAAGGTTTTTTCATTTGCATAAAAGTTTAAGATGCAAAACAGATCATTCCATTCCAAATAAAATTAGAAAATTGTACAGCATTTCTCTCAGTATAGTGTTTTGCTGGCTATTTCTACATAGACATACAGAGATGTGTTTTTTATAGTTAAACAGGATATTAATTATACAAAACATAGGGGACGCATATTTCATCTCCATGCCACACAACTATACAACCTTAAGGTGTATTTGTGATTGTTTTTTTTATGAGCCCAAAAGTAAATAAATGAATAGACTTTTGTGAGTTGACCTAATAAAAATTTGAGTTGCAAAGACACTACCAAACATTTAACAGTGTCAATATAAGCTTTTGATTGGCGCTGACTTATTTAGGTTATAATGAGGCTGTTCTGAAACTGGATCAATATCATGATATTTGTTGACTATCTTGTATTGCGAGAGAATGGAACCGCAATTCCCACATCTGCTGCAGGTGCAGCCTTGGTTGCGCTCTAATTAATAATGTACCAGAACTCGTTTTATTTTATTGACACTTAGTTTCATCACTGAATTATTATCCTGTTTAATGTTAAAGCAAGCTTTGCAGCTTTTTTAGATATTACACCTCATTTGCGTTACATGTCACTTTCCGGGCGATCAGGACCGAATGCTATCGCCTGTGGTAGAGGTTAGCCTAGATTAATTAAGCTGGAGATGGTTAATGACAGGTGACAAACCCTCGGGTACATTCAGGCCAACAGTGTGAGAACTAAATAAGAAAAACACCCACGTAAAAACCGAACCGGGGCTCAAAGAGACGATGTCAGAGCTGAACCGTGGATTAGAAGAATCGTTGCACTCCTGTGTGAGTGTAGCTGAGGTAACTTGGGTAACTTCGGTTTAAAGATAGGTTTACGTCATCTATGGGTAAATATGACTATGTTATAACAAAAATAATGAATAAACAACAAAAAGTGGAAGGTCAGCTTGTGGAAACACACTGAGGCCCGATGGGGCTGCAGTTGTTGGTACTCTTGAGCGTTAGCATTGGTTAGCACTGGTGTTTATCTGTGAAATAGCAGCTTGTGGACCAGCTGTGCTGAAGCTAATGGTCCCGGGGGATAGTGTCGGCTCGGCCGGTGTAATCTCCACCTTCCTGGACGGTATCAGCTCCGGATAATGTCTGAAGGTGTTACAACTTGTCATCGATTCGGCTGCGATGTCTGAGCTCAAGCTAACGCTGGGGAGCCAGGGCCACATTAGCTTGTGTTTCCGGCAGTTCGTTATTACATGATAAAGCCGCATTAACTACACAGCTAACTTCAACGGGAGCTAGCGGGCTAAGGCGCCCCGCAGACCGTAGCCACCGGCATTAGCGATAATTGAGCCCTTAATGTCTCCCTGCGCTGCACAGGTTCGTTAGCTAGCTGCCTCCTTCGCATCAGTATCGGGCCTGGATCAGATTTGTGTCGTTGATAGCTCTCGCTCGCTGCTCGCCCCCGTTCTGTCAAGCACCGGTCCCCGCAGTGTGGCTCTCTTACCTCTCCGTTAATGCCCGCGATGGAGCCCATGGTCCCGCTGCCGGTGCTCCCGGGCGTCAGGAAGCTGACGACGGAGGCAGGTGCTGCTGCTCCCGCACAGCCCAGGGCCGAGGCGACCCCGGCCTTGCCACCGCTGGTGTTGCAGACAGCACTGCAGCTACTGCCACCGCCCCGCTTGTTCTTCCTGCGCTTAGCCCCTCGTTTAGCATCGGTTGGACTCATTTTCTTCCACGACAGAGGCGAGACAACTTGCCGTCCGGGCTTGGCAGGGTCTCGGGTGGAAGGCCAGGCGCAATCGCTCGGGTACAACTCCGGGATAGCGATGTAGAGACTCCCAAAACCGACAGACGCTCAGTAACCAAAGTGTAAAGCCGACTTCATAGATTCCAATATGGCCTCCGGCTGGACTGCCTCAGTTCGGCTTCAGCTTACGTTAGGACGTAACTCTGCGTCCTCCTCACCGGTGGCTTCTGGGAAATTGAGTTTGTAGCTGGATTTCTCACTGAATAACATGAACAATAATAAAGTTTATTTATTAGCACTTTAAAAAAAAAAAAAAAAAGAGTTTACGAAGTGCTTTGATGGCAAAGCAAGAAGAGTAAATGTAAGAGAAACAACAATCAGCACGATGCAATGTGAGAAGGAGGCCAGACACAAGGTAGTGTTCAAATGTTAGATGAATAAACAGAAAGGTTATGTGACAGTATAAAATAAATGAACAAAGTTGAAAATAATAACCACATGAAAGCAAGTCTATAAAAATGCTAGGCCGCCAAAAGAGATAAATATTTAGATATATTTAAATATTCTTGAAAATGTCCACAGACACCTCATGCAGACAAATTACAGCACATATGGGTGTTGAAGGTGTTGATTGATCTGTTAGTAAGGAGAAAGTTAGCTGTCCAAATACCTCACACTCACATTTCTCCAAAGGTGAAATAAACTCACTTTGAGACAATAAATAATATTTACCCATGACATAAAAAATTCAATGTTCATAAAAAAATATATAATTTTACACTGTGGAATCCAGAAATTCTAAACTTTTTATTGCTCATTATTTTTCAGTTTCTCTCAGGGATCTTTCAAACTTGGGAAAAGGACCCAAATTAAAATATATAATATACACTGTCAGGAAATAAAAAAGGGAAATATTATGCAAAGTTGAAATATTTTGGCTATGCAGTTTATTCAGACATGCAGATTTGTAATACACCATTATTTCACATTTTTATGAGTGGGTTAAAAATTACATCTACATTTACATTTAGGGCATTTAGAAGACACTTTTGTCCAAAGCGAAGTACATTTGTCACAGGAGAGAAACCACAACATATCACCGTAGATCTATGGGTAAAACGAAATATAGAAACAATTATCAAGCCCTTATCTGATGATCGTATCTATCTATCTGTCCATCCATCATCCATCCACCTATCTATCTATCTATCTATCTATCATCTATCCGTCCATCCATCCATATATCTATCTATCTATCTATCT